AAGTATTTAAAGTTAACTGCATAATAACCCATAACATTGGCAAAAAGTTGCCCCAAGCCATACATAAAGTTCAGTGATACTTGGGCTACAAACCCGACAAGATATCAGGGTGTTCTTGCGTTATCTGGTATCAGCTGGGGAATGCGCCCACATGGATCAGTTCGAGGTCTGTGAGCTGTGGGGCAGGGTGAAATGCACTTCAGCCTATGCCCAGTGTGGGAATGTCTTGATTGCAGGCACAGCTGGCCCTGTCTATGGGGTCCCTGGGCTTGATTCCAGCTCTAGCTGTAGTCAGCGAGGCTATCTCCTGTGTGGCCTCTTGTAGTGCAGCGTGATCCTTGAGAGGTTGCTTTGTGCCGCTCTGGTCAGAGGTTCTTGGGTCTGATGAGTTGCTAGCAGGTAGGCTTTGCTTGGTGCACATGCTTCTTTGTAGGTGGGAGCGAGTGCATGCGTTCAACTGGCATGGCGCCGTTTCCCGCCTTGTCGATCTTTGGTGTCTGCATCGCCGGACGGCCGCCCTGGATGCCCGAGGTTGGTGCCCATAATGGCGTCGTCGGGTAACGGGTCTCATCCAGGAGGCTACCGCTTTCACCGCCTGGTGGTGGACCATTCCTCGCTCACTGAGCATCACCCAGAAGCTCTTACAAAGCCGGTCCAGAGCCATCAGGGGATGTGTAGGTGACTGGGTGCTTGTGTTTTTCATTTTTGGCCCTTGCTTGGAGGCCATTTTGGTTATGCCTTGATGGTCTTGTGTTCCAGCGGGCTGTGTAATTGTGAAGCCCACCAGCAGCCCTGGTCCGTGTAGCCAGTGGGGACCGGGATTACCCCCGCCGGTCCAAAGGGGGGGGGAGTAAGAGATCAATGAGGTCGCTTGAGGGGTCTCAGTGTTGGGGAGAATGGCCGCCTCTCCCTGGCTCCAACCCCAGTAGGCCGCACTTGGCATTTCACGCCCCCGGCCCCGACGGGCTCCAGAAAGGTGTCCCTCGATTCAACCGGGCACCCCCGGCTTGGATGGGGTACCCCGGTGTGTTTTTGGGCTATTTATCTGCCAATTTCACCGTATTTTCTGCCCGTCGGACTGGAGCTCGCCTCACCCACGTCCGTACAGCTAGGTGGTCAGGATCCGCCCCCTCACTAGTTTTAATTTTAATGTTCAGATAAACAGCTGTCAGATTCTCTCATTAAAATGTATTTTAGGCACATCATTAAAAGCCTAATGGTAGACAGTATAAGGTTTAAGTGGGTATTGCCAGGAATTCAGAGCAAGTTTCAAGGCAAAAATTATGTAGCTGATTTAAAGATAATTTTACTGTGAACTCCAAAAAATCAGGTAACTGTTCAAGGTTATTTTACAAGAATGTGTGAAATCCATCTACACCTTAAAGGGATACTGTAGTCACCAAAACAACTTTAACATAATGAAGCAGTTTGGGTGTATAGACCATGCCCCTGCAGTCTCACTGCTCAATTCTCAATTAGGAGTTAAATTACTTTGGTTATACAGCCCTTGTCACAGCTCCCTGCATGTGACTTACACAGCCTTCCCAAACACTTCCCGTAAAGAGTCATATAATGTTTTTACTTCCTTTATTGCAAATTCTGTGTAATTTAGAATATCATATCTACTGCTATGTTAATAGCTTGCTATACTCTGCAGGAGCCTCCTGTATGTAATTGAAGTTCAGTTTGCAGAGCACAAGATAAAGAAAATATTTAAAGTAAGTTACATCTGATTGAAAATTAAACCATTTTGTTTTCATGTAGGCCGTGTCAGTCACAGCCAGGAGAAGTGTGGCTAGGGCGGCATAAACAGAAACAAAATTGATTTAACTCCTAAAATTGAACAGAGAATTGAGCAGTGAGGGGGCATGATCTACACACCAGAACTACTTAATTAAACTAAAGTTGTTTTGGTGACTATAGTGTCCTCTTAATGTTTGCAATATTTTATGCTGGAACATGTCTATTCACAATAAAGAAAGAGCGAGAGAGAGAGACTATTTCTGATGGACTTCTGTACAAAGATCTTATATCTGCCTTATATCCAGCCTAATGAGTGCCTGAAGTCTTTTTTTGGACAATGTCCCAATATTATAGGCACATTATTATAATAATGATTTTATTATTCATATAGCACCATCATTTTCATAAATTTTCCTGCATGTTAAAAAATTAGTTTACTAAACCGTGGAATCATTTGTGCAGTCAACAACAAATTTGCAAAATATAGACAAACATTTATAAACTAGAAAAAATATTCAATCTGATTCAGCCCCCCAAATCAATTTATTTATTTATGTGCAAGGTGTTTTACAGTGAAATTTGTCTTGTTTTTTTTGTCTGGAAGACCTGCAGCAAATTGCACACCTTGAGTTTCCCAAGTTTCAATTTGTCTGATATCCATGTATAAAAAACTTTCCATAAAGTAGTTTTTCTTCTGTTTTTCAATTAAAACTATTTTTTAGCATTGTTTGACAAATGTGTTGAATGTTCCTTGTGAAAGTAATGCAGTTGTAGAAACATTTTAAATGTACTGTTCCCACTATTGAAGATATTATATAATTTCAGATTAATTATATTTATGAGCAAAGTTAGTACCAGACATCAGTTTCACAAGTACACTGAGCTATATGTAAACTGAAATCTCTGTAGTCTGCACCGGTCTGACCTCAGCAAAGCAATGTTTTTATAGATTCATTCTAACTATACCTAATTGCAACTTATCCTTGTTGGAATAAGAAACAATAATTAAGCTTCTTTTATCTATTCTATGTACACAGCATCCTCGTACAGTGTCTAGGACGGACATATTATCCTGGCTTGTCAGAGGTCTAGGATGTTTTACATCATGTATTGCAGAGATAACATATAATAAGCTGATTTTAATTCAGCACGTCACATTTTGGGAAGGTTAATATTTAGAGCAGCATTCTTCAAACCTATTTTTAGGATCCAGCAACATGACAGGATTTAAAGGGATATTTTAAGTACCATAACCACTAGAGCTTATTATAATGGTTATTGTGCAAAGAGTCCTTGGATGCAGACCTCGTGTGTATTTTAAGCAGTTTCCTGCACTCAGAGCTTTATGATAATACAGGAATTTTAATTCCACATTAGCCGTACACATTTCTTAACGTCTGGGTTGCAATGATGAGCAGGAAGTACTACTAGCCATCATTAGGAAATGTCACCCTCTCTCCCGTTCCCCCTAATAAAATGAATGGCAGGTAAAGGGTGCCGCAAAATTCTAATAACTATAAAATGTTATGTCATTTCCTGTCATTTCCATCTCAAAAACATTGCGCGCATCCGCCCCTACTCAACGCCAGATGCAACTAAGGTGTTGGTCCATTCCACTGTCCTTTCTCGCCTTGACTACTGTAATCCGCTTCTCAGTGGTCTTACGTGCTCCCAACTTGCGCCGTTACAGTCCATAATGAATGCGACAGCGAAGCTCATCTTCCTGTCCGCCCGCACCTCCCATGCCTCACCCTTCTGTCAGTCCCTACATTGGCTTCCTATAAAATATAGAGCTCAACTTAAAATTCTGGTTCTTGCTTTCAAATCTCTACATAATGCTGCTCCCACCTATCTATCCTCCCTTATACACAAGTATGTCCCGTCTAGGCCCTTACGATCTGCTGAAGACTTACGTCTATCTTCTGTCCGTACTCCCACCTCTGATGCTCACCTTCAAGATTTCTCGAGGGCTGCACCGTTCCTGTGGAACTCGCTTCCCTCCTCCGTTAAATGCTCACCCAGTCTCCACTCCTTCAAAAAATCATTAAAAACCCACTTCTTCATAAAAGCGTATCAATTAAACTGTTAATAGCTCCTGACTGATTCCTCTTCTGCAACTGTCACTAGTCTAATACTATCCTTACCTTTTTGTGTCATTTTACCCCACTCCCTCTAGCATGTAAGCTCATTGAGCAGGGCCCTCAACCCCTCTGTTCCTGTGTGTCCAACTTGTCTGGTTACAACTACATGTCTGTTCGTCCCCCCATTGTAAAGCGCTGCGGAATTTGATGGCGCTATATAAATATAATAATAATGTGGGAGCACTGGGTTTCCTTTTCTTCATTTTACCCACTTTGCATCAGGTTAGGGCTAAATTTCATAAACGGTCCAGAAGATTGTCCAACAGGCATCAAGAGGAAGCCCTGGCCTAGGATAAAATGGTCAGCTCTACACAATGGTGACACGAAAGAGCATATACAAATAATACCAGACAAAGCAAATGTAGAGCACAATAGGAGCATGAGATGGTATGATTTATTTTAGGCACTGAAGCCAAAGAGGGAAATACATACAATGTAACTTTCCTGTTTTTCAGAATCATCCCTTGGGAGGTGATAATGTACACAGATGATCACACATCACCTATCAAGAAAACTCAGGAAGAACAGATGATGCATTTTTCATACATGTCAAGTGAAGAATCAACTGTTGATCTAAATGAGAGTAAATATGTTGGGGGAGGGGGAGATGAAATAAATTTAAATTTAAAAACGAAAAATGAAATAGAAAATATGGACATGCTGAATATACGTAAAACGAATGAAGCCTGTACATAAGGAGTACTAATATCTGCTAATAATCAGCTGTCCAACTGCTTGGCGGTTTTGAATTTTTGTTTACTATTCCGTCCATCTACTAAATGGGGTCAGATAACTTTGTCCCATATGATTTATGACGGAGAAGATCGAGATAATTCTAGCATTTCTTCTATAATCTCCATGAGGATTGGTATGATATGATATTAAATGTGTTGCATCATTCTTACATTGTAGCAAGGCCGAGAATTGAAATAGTTATTAGTTTTGTTTAGATAGTTAAATATTGTTGTTTGTATAATTTTAAATTAAAATGTATTATCAACAAGGAGTTTGTGTAATTTTTCAGTTTTGCCTTTGTTTTTTAATAGTGAAATCACAGAACACAAAATATAAACTGAATAGGGGAGAAGGATGCTTGTAGGGTTGCATGTGAGGGAGGGAAATTGTTGTTGGGTTTTGTGTGGGGATGCTGCTGTTTGCGTGTGTGCATGTAAATAGGGGCTGCATGTAAATAGGTGATATGAGTTGGAGTGTTTGTTGTGGAGGATAGATGCATTGTGTGTATGTTGTCGCTGGATAGGGGCTTTAGTGTAGGTTGTTGTGGATAGGTGCTGTTGTGTGTGTGTTGAGGGGGAGAAAGCGACTGTCCTGGGGGTGATAGGGACTCTGGGGCAGATATGCATTGTAGTGTGTGATAGGGTCTATGGTGGTGGCAATAAAGGCTATAGTGGGGAAGTTTGACTATAGTGTATGGATATTGGCTGAGAGCTGTATTTCAATTTTTTTTTTTTAAATAAAGCATTTGTAATTTTATGTAGATCTTTGATCTCCCCACTGGCCATGGTCTCCCCTACTCCCCTAGTACCAGGCCTGCAGGAAACAGCTGAAAAGATCTCTATGGTAGAAGGATGGGCTGACTGGAGAGTGGGTATTAAATGTGATAAATGGGGTGGAATGCCATTGTCAACCATCCCAAAATGTCCCTACAGACATTCTCCCACCTGCCAGCCAGCAGGTAAAACCCCTCTGCTGTAAAACGGTCAACCATGAGCCAGCTGGCCAGTGCTTGCAAACCAGCTGATACAAAGTTTTAAAATAAATGTAAAAAGCCTATGTGACCAAACAGAGAGCAGCCATTGACTGCCCACTGCCACTTAAATCTAGTGACTGGGCACGGGGCCTCTAAAATAAAGGGGTAACCTGGCACAGGTCCCATCTCATACCTACACCTAACTGTATTGGTTGGTGGCTTAAAATTCAATAATGGGAAGTGGACAGGATAAGCTGGTGGGGACTAATGAAACAATAAATTTGGTGGACATCCTATTGTCCCTCAGCCCACATCCATGGGTGGTTGGTAGCGGTTACTTAATAATCAATAGGAACATTCTATTGTCCACCACCCACCAATGTTATGGCCAAACTCCTCCCTCATTTCCCCAGCAGGTGGCTATTTCTCCCCAATCCCCTAGCCACTCCTCAATTAAAAAAATAAGGGGGCAATAAATCTAATATCTGTAAAGAAAAAAAAATGTCACTTTAAAATGTTCTGAATTTAATATCTGCACCCATATTTCAGCCAACCAGCAGTTTTCGCTCCAGCTGAAATCCAGACTGAATTCAGCCTGCTCTACAAAATCCCAAAATTGTTAAATAGTGTAAAAAATGTCTAAAGTTTGCACTCCGAAGGGGCCATAAAAGTAAGAGTTTTACTATTCTAGGGTTTATGCACTAAAAACTGAATTTAAGTTTTAAAGAGAACTGAAAAAGCTGTGTCTATAGATCAGTAAGAGACTTGTTTTCCAAATCCACTAATTTTGATCCAAATCTTCCAAATCTCTACAATTTACAAGTAGTAAACTGCATTGCATTCTTGTTCTTTCTTTGTCTTTGCATATCTATGGCTTTCCAATTTAAAAAGAATCATTTCAGCATCCTCTCTGTTTTATAAAGACTTGGGGAATTAATTTCTATCAGTGACAGTGTGTGGAGGAGGAAGTGCATAATGTATTTTACAACAATTTTACAATTGATCTACACATTTGTACAGTTATTTGGTATTTATACATCCATCTATAATATGTTCTGTACATTAAGGGATAATTCTGTAAATATACACCATAGTTTAACAGCATATATTTCAGTAGCTTTGTTACTTGCGTTCATGACTAAGTCTACCCTACTATTTCCTTAGGTGAGTTCTTTTCAACTGTTCTTTTAATTAGTGTTGGTTCCATTTTCCATTACTAGAAATGGTTTTTCATTTCTCTAACCATACCCCCACTCACTTACTGAGTGTACATGCTCCTACATGCCCTATAGTGCGTTACTACTACCTTTGGGGGGGTGGATGTGTTATACCAGAGCCAATTCTACTGTCAGGAAGTGTTAAGTATGTTAAGTACCTGTTTATATAATGCTATTTATGACTAGAGTGTGTGTGTGTATATATATATATATATATATCCGGTGTATTTATATTCTCCTTAGTGAGAATTGCTGTGAAATATAATATACTGTCAAAAGCAATTAAAGAAAATGTATAATAAATAAACGTTGCAATGTTTGAAAGTTTGGGTGAGATTATGTAATCATTGTAACTGCGAAAAGTAACAAATTGGATATGTTTGCTGTTTCTATCAGATTTCAATACCCTTTAACACAAGAAAAAATGTCTCCATCACAAAAAAAAAAAACAATGAAGGCTAGACCTGTGCAGGGTGAGTAATTTCAGTTCTTTAAAACCACTTCCAAGTATTCCAAGATGAAATCACACACACCAATTGAAAAGGGACCCTTTAGACTAGGATAAAGAGTTCCTGTAGCTGATTGTCTCTTCTTCCTGTGAGAAACAGCACCTTTCAACCACACATGTCCTACAAAAAATAAATACATTTAATGTAATTAGGTAGGTGAGGCATAAAGTGGAAAACATGAGTTAAAGTTCCAACAGAGCCAGTAAGTTACCTGACATTAGTGCAGCTGCTGTCTTTCCATTCAGGAGCTCAGGATGGGAAACCCAGTGCCTGTACTTTGACTCACTCATAGAGCGCTGGAACCGCAAGGGACTGCTGCACCACAGACCACCAGGGAGCAGGGGCATGATCAGAACCTGGACCCCAGGCTGCCACCTAATGTGTAAACTGGCTGTGGGATTGAGGCGCATGATGGAGTGGATGATGGTGGATATATCAGGTAGGTATATTATGTAGATAATTTAAACAACTAAATAGATAAATCAGATGGATACATAGAGAAATATCGAATACACATACATTCATCTGCCATTTTCTCTATCTAATCGATTTATCAAATAAATGGATCTTTCCTCTTTACTTACTGCACATACCCTGACAGTCATGGCAAGTCATTTATCATGAAAGGGTTAAATAAAGCAATATTATGTTGCTTGGACTATACATTTACTAAGCATTTTCTGGCCTTATTATTGTAAAAATCATTCATATTGCATCTCCAATTACTATAATGTATCTGCTGAGACACTTTCCGTTTGCTGCCCTAAACCCTTACATTACAGAGGTCCTCTGCAGGTGTGCAATGCTGAGAGATCAGGTGGAGAGGGAATTTTCTTAAAACCCGCCCACACTGATGACTAAAAGAGTTTTGTCACATTGCATTCTGACAGGGCCAAGTTCCTGCCCTTTACTCCCCTCAACATTTCCTGACACCATGTTCCTTTCCTCTGCATGAATAACCAATGGCTCAGACTAGCACAGGCTGATGTACATCTAATTAGCAGAAGGAAATCCCAAGTTTGCAATCTCCCTAGCCTATGAGCCAGCACAATTTCAGTAATATTCATGTAATTAACTAACAAAGGTACTCCGTTAAAAATTCTGCAAACTTTTTAGTGATAGAAAAAGATAAGACACTCTTAGCATGGAAATAATAGATTCAGTGATATAATCTTCAATTTATGATAGTATTTTACTTGCATAGTTAGAACAACTGGGTAAATTCCTGTCTATAAAACAGTAAGCTTTTGTCTCTCTGCACATAGCATGCTCTTCCATTCTCTCTCCCTCTCTCTTTTCCACTCTCTACATTTCACACAAACATCATATACAGTCATTTATAGGTATGTTTAATAGATTCGGGCATCACACCTTCCAAACTCTCTTACATTATGGATATATTAATTGCCAGATCATTTATAGCATGGCTATCATTTTTTTTCTGTTCACCTCATAGAAACACAATAAAATATTCATCTCAATTAAGTTGTTATGGTGCCAAAAGGTTCTACGCGCCATCTTACCTTAGGGATTAAACCGTTTATGAATGGTTTAACCCCAAAGGTGTGAAGACAACTCCTGTTTGCTCTGACACCTGGTTTCCGGCAATGTCCAAGGCTTTAATGACGAAATCTGAAAGAAGCTAAGGACTTGGCATTGCTGATAGTCTAAGAGGTTATCACTAGCTTGCCATTCACAAAACTGTGTGAGAAAGATATGTGCCTTGGCTGTGGTGGGTGGTGGGCATTGTCTTCACAGCTTTGGAATTAAACTGTTCATAAAAATGTGAATCTCTGGGGCCCAGTCAGACACGATGTCCTTTTAACAGCGCAAAAAAGGCTCCTGTTACAATGGCAGTGCTGTGAAGAAGTGTAGTGAATGCAGAGAATATGTGTGTAGTGGATGCAGTGTTTGTGTAGTGGATGTAGTATGTGTGTAATGCATGCAGTGTGTGTTTGTGTAGTGGATGTAGTGTCTGTAAATATTGTGTACAAAAAAAAGGCAATTTTTTTTACATTTATTTCAATAAATTTAATTAAAGCCCCCCTCCCGGCCTCTTACCTGTGGCCAGGGAGTGGGGGGATTACAATCCCTGGTGGTCGTGTGGCATTGTGCTGGCTGGCAGTGCTGCATATTGCAAAGGAGGGTGAGGGGGAGCAGCACAAGCTATCTTCACTTTACAGCTGTTCCTCTCTAACTCTAACGAGATCTGTCTGTCTGCTGTGCAGAGCCTTGTTATGGTAACCTGTGGCAACATTCTGACGGCTGAGAAGTTTGCGTGCTTTGGAGAGAGGAGCAGCTGTAAAGTGAAGATGGAGTTGGTTGGATCCTCTCTGCAGGAAACAGATAGCCAGGTGGCCCGCATGGGGCCTAAAAGTAACCAGGTGAAGCCCAGGCTTATCAGCCACCCAAGACCCACCTAAATAACTTGGAGTACTCAAGCCTGTAGTCACCACTAAACTATGCCCCTCACACTAATAATAGTGAGAGGGGCCAATGAATCTAAAAAAGCCTAATGAATTAGAAAACCATTTATTTATAACCAATATGTAGTGCCCAGAAAATAAGTGTGCAACAGAACACACTAGAAAACCAATGCTATATATCAGGGGTCAGCAACCTATGGCACAGATGCCGTGCATGGAACTCAAGGTGACTTTGTATAATAATCAAGGCTGCCAGACCCAGATAGGATCTCTCCTGGAGCTGGCCTATCAGGGGCCCAGTGGGACTTCTTTAGAGATCTGCTAATGTCATCTAGACGTTTGTCACTAGTGGTGTGTGCAGCAGCTGGTGAGGGGTAGTCTTCAATTTACTTACTGCTGCGCATGACATAAGTGATCTTAGAACACTCCCTCTGAGCACTTGTGAAGAGCAATCAACACTGGAGTAGTACAGCCCATAGAAGCCACCACAGCCCCAACCCCTGACCTGTACCATGAGAGCCCAGTCCCCATTGAACCCCATTGAAGCTATATACACACACAGCTGCAGAACAAGCCTCCCTCAAATGCAAATAATGCAAACAGCAAATATACACAGTCTCCACAAATACAACACCTCTGACAATAGGCATATACACACACATCCTGACAAGCAGCCTTCCATGTACAATACCCCAAATAGGGGGGGGCGGGGCCGTTCAGCCGAGCCGCATGGCAGCAGACTGACATGGCTCCCGGCCCAAACAAATTAAACTGGCTCTGAAACACCCACAGAAGGCACGAAGACCAGGCTACCCACTGAAATAAAGGGAAGGATAACACCAGCTTTACAAAGATGCCAACTGAACCCTAAAAGAAGGCTGTGAGCACCGTAAAGGACTTTTAAGGCCTACCCTTGGCCGCAAGTCCACACATGAGTCGGTCGGAACACATGCCGATCCTCCGCACCTGGACACAGACAACTTAAAGAAAAATAAAAGCAACTTACCCAGGCAACACACGCTGCTGGCACGGGGCGCGGCCCAGCTCCCCTTCCCCCCCCCCAGCCGGTGGGGTAATCCGGCCTCATGGAGACGACACGCGCCGAGCCGAGAGTCCCCCGTGCTGGGCCCAGACTGCCCTCCTGAACTGGCAAAGGCTGCCAAAAAGGAGCCCGCCAGTAAAAGAGTCATGAGGACCATATTACATATAAGCTTATTATGCTGAAAGAAGACGCAAGCGGGACTCTCAACTGCTTCGGAGGGGCTGGCGGGTACGGCACATGTGGCCACAGAGGTCGCCGGTAACTAAATGAATTCCCCGACTTCCTGCCCGCCAAAGGAGTTACGGCCCGGACTTGCCGAGTCTGTGGGGGTCCTCGGGGAGTCGAGTCCCTGGTGCTGCGAGTCCTGTGGATGAAGAGGATGCGGGCCTTCCGGCGGACCGGTGGCCGTGAGGGATGCGCATCGTCCACAAGTGTGAGGCCGGCACCAGGAGAGATGGGGGCTTACGCTCCGCAGGAGTTTGAGAGGTGCAGGGGAGGAGCAGGGGACAGGGGGCGCTCAGACCCTAGGTGTGGGCGTCCTGTGGACGTTCTCTGGCCCTGAGTGCCCACGGAGCCACGGAAAGCCCTGCAGGCGGACAGTGACTTGTCTGGGGAGGACAGATGGAAACCCGGCGCACTGGGGTCATGTTGTTGCCATGCCATGACTGGCCCAGATCGGACCATTGTAGAGTCCCCAACTACGGTCATTATGCTTGTACATTACCTACCTATATATTCGTATTTCTACATTTTCATATATTTCATATGTCCTCATGGGGGGAGGAGGGGGTTTCTTCTCCACTTCTTTATAATTTTACATGCTACAACTGATAATTTGGACCTTAACATATGGTGATAATAATAATATTGCAGGTTCTGATTACCAGCCTTTTACTAAATTAATTTGGCACATAGTTAGTAGCCAACCTGTAGGCATATGGTAGATGCTGATAAGGCTTCTTGCTTAAAATAGGTACGTTGATAAATGTACCTTTAGTTGGCCATATAATACCATGTTATACTAAAATAGCTGTATCAAAATGCCTTAGTTTAGGCTTAATTCACTAAAGTCAAAAGGGCTTCATAGCCAGATGGCCGCATTATATAAAGGATACCCGTATGTCAGCGCAGTAGCTGATACAAAATATTTGAGCTTATACAAAGAGCGTATGGGTTTTTTTTTTGTTTGTTTTTATTATTATTTTATAC